ACAATAACCTAGACCATCTTGCCCAAAGCATAGTGGAGAGGATGGGGAAACTCGGAGCCACTGAAACAGGATGGAAAGGAGGGGAGTTGCGAGGAGTACGGAAACAGGAGCTGACGGAACCACTAAAAGATCAGCCGAATAAGCAGGAGAATCTTAAAAAGAGCCCCTTAGGGAAAACCCCAAAAATTTACAGGAAAAAGAAGGCCAAAGAAAAACACCTAAAGCCAGAATCTGAGTCATATTCCAGTCAAGAGGAAGGGGAAAAAGAAAATTCTCAAAAGAAACCAAAAAAGAAAATCAGGCAAACAGCAGGGCTCAAACAGGATCTAGAACCACTCCCAAAAGGGACTCAACGTGTGAAGTTTCAAAATGGTACCCGAGTATACCAGGTGATGGGGACACCATGGTCTATAGAAGCGGATGCATTACTGGTGTTTACAAATCATAAGTACAAAATCCATAACTCGACCTACAAAAAAGCTCTAAAGAAAGTAGCTGGTAGGGAGTACCAAGCTGAAATAAAACAACTTGCTGGTGAACCAAATAGCACAGAGCTAAGAACAAGAATGACCAGTGGAGCTGATGCTCCGTATTACGCGATAATACACATCCCAATTCGAAGCTATAAAGAGGCAACCGATAATACCAGCTACCTCAGGGAAATGTTAGAAGCTCTGCAGAGAGGAGTGTTCCGAGCCATAGAGTTCGGCTTTAGGTGCATAGATGGGCTCCGGTCCCATCATTTGCAGTGGGAAATAGCTGAGAGAGTAGCGGTCAATTCAATGACATACCTGGCCAAAGACATGCCAGCGGAAGCCCACTTAAAAGAGATGATTATAGTGACCCCCACTCATCTAGATGAAGATCGAAAATCCAGAGTCGTGGCCACAATGACAAAACCAGAAGAAAAACCAATCAAGGAACCCCTAAAGTTAGGGAAAGAAGACATAGAAAAATCATTAACATCACTGGGAACCAAGAGAAGTGAGGACCAGTTAAGGATCAGTCCTCAGGGGTCGAAAATGTCCCTGACCTCACCCTCAGAAAACGACCTGAAAAGTTCAACCACAAGACGACGCAGAAGCGGAGCAGACTCACGAGAAGGACAGCCAAAGAGAGAAACATTAACAAAAATACAACCCTTAAACATAGAGAGTGAGGAGGATGACGACGAGAGCTCTCAGGGAGAACCAGATGCAGACCCGAGTCAGGAAGACACCGATGATGAAGGTAGTGCCAGTCTAGAATCGATAGCAGGCCAATACGACGGTCCAGTTAAGCCATTAAGAATAGGACAAAGAAAAGGACAAAAGAAGGGAGTAGAAATACTGGACGTACATAGAGCATCAGAAAGGTTAGCCAGGGACTTGAGTTGGGGCCCGGTACAGGCGAGTGATGGGCGTCGAACTTACATCCCTGAAGCTGGCCAAAATCACTATGACATTCCACCAGTATGGGCAGACAGGTCAGAAGAGACAGTGGAACTGACTGTTAGAGCTACTTTGGGAGAGTGGGCCAACATTTTAATGATGCCCTCATACCCCACATTGGCAGCCCACAAACCCTTAACCAGTAAGTTTAGGACCGCTTATTTAGGGATAGTACATGATGTGATGCTGAGAAGAATGAAAAAGACGGCCTACAAATATGCCCAAGAAACAGAAAAGAAATTGCGAGATGAAATATCGGCCGATGAGGAAGATGACATGTACCCGACCGAGACAAGTCCACCGTATCAAGTGCCCGAATCAACCCGTGAGCCCAGGCAGGCTAGACAAAACCAAGCCCCAGGTCCAGAAACTGACAGTTATCGTGAGTACAAAAAACTGAAAACCTTAGTGAGGGAAAAACAACCCCAGGAGACCACCGAAGAATACATCAAAGATGTGTGGCCCATGGTAGTTAGCTCCACTGAGTGTGATGCAGCAAAAAAGTTGTGGCTGGGTAATGTCACCACAAACCCAATGAGTAAAGGGGAATCGGCTCAAAGCCAGTATGAGAAACTAGTCCTAGAAGACATGGACGACGAAGACTCTCACATTCAGCGGGCGAGGATGCGCATGGATCAAGGCCAACGCCTCACCCCAGTTTGGTATCAGCTTAAACAAGTAATTCCCCCTAAAAGGTATGTTAAAGCCTTAAGGATAGTATCCAAGGGAAGAAGGGGAGAGCTCACCTTTGCCAGAATGCCTCATGAAACTAATGACGCCCAGATAGACCAGGCAGTGAAATCATATGACCTAGAACAGCTGTTCTGGGAAGAAAAGAGGAAAAGTGAGAGCAGGCAAAGCCAAAAACCGCCATAGCCGACACAAAAGGCCCCTCAACAGCCACAATACAGAGAACAGTTCCCGAGACAGCAAGGGACACAGTACAGGGAAAGACCACCAAGGCAGTCAGAGCCACAATATAGGGACCAACAACCAAAACGATTTTCAGCTCCAGCTTCAAACTCCACACCACAGAAAGGGGGTAAATACCTACCCCCGGAAGAATATGCAAAACTGACCCCAGAAGAGAAAAGAGCCCTCCATGAATCCCGTGAGAAAGGGAGTGGAGGGCCAGCTAAATAATGGCAGATAGGTTGCGGGTCACTCTGGAAGATGCCTATTGGGAGGGGGACGAAATTTACACCAAAGTGGAGGGAGAACCTTACCTAATAGATTCCGGAGCAGAGGTGTCTATGACCCGCAGAAATCTAAAAACAGTAGGACACCTGACAGTTCAGTTAGCAAACGGAAAAATTGAAACAATGCCTTACGGGTTATGGCAAGGAATTGTGTGGATAAAAGGGCCTTATAACCTTATGACAATTACCGATCTAAAAGAACTAAAGAAACCAAAAAAGAATCGAAGAGCCTTAAACAGAAGGTTAGAGAAGTTAAAATCTAGGCTAGTAAAAATAGGGTTCACACACAAACAAGGTGAGTCCGAAGACTGGTATAAACCTGTAAATATCCCTGAAGTAACAAAACAAAAAATAGATGAGAGTGACTTCTCCCCGGCTGGGAAAGAGAAGTTAAAACAAATACTAGAGAAAGCCTCAATAGCCAGATTTAAAAATGATTGTGGAGACCTAGGCCCAAAGTTTGTACATATAATCGAAGGAGGAGTACACTCACCCGTAAGACAATATCCTCTAAATCCAGGAGCAGTTGAAGAAATGAACAAAATTGTGAAAGAATTAGGAGCGTTAGGAATTATTAGAGAAGAAACAAACCCCATAACTAACAGCCCAATCCAGGCAGTTAAGAAACCCGAATCAGCAGGAGGAGGGTGGCGACCAGTGATTAACTTTAAAGCCCTTAACAGACGGACAGTAGCCAACAGAGCGAGCCTAATCAACCCGCAAGGCACCCTAAAAACTCTGCAAGTAAAAAAGTACAAATCTTGCATCGATTTAGCAAATGGATTTTTCTCTCTTAGGTTGGCAAAGCAATCACAGGGAAAGACAGCTTTTACCCACCAGGGAAAAAGTTATGTTTGGCAGCGGCTACCACAGGGATATAAAAACTCTCCTAATGTATTCCAGTCGATCGTGATGGACGTGCTCAAAGACTTAGGCGCCACAATTTACATTGATGATGTGTTTATCGCAGATGACACAGAGGAAGAACACCTGGAAAGGTTAGCTAAGGTGGTGCAGCGAGTCACAGAGGCAGGATTGAAACTGAATTTGAAAAAATGCCAGCTTGGACAGTTCCAGGTGAATTATTTAGGGTTTCAAGTGACAGCAGACCTAGGACTCTCAGAAGGGTATAGGGAGAAACTCGAGCAAATTCAGCCTCCTGAGTCAGAGAACGACTTACAAAAGATCTTAGGACTGTGTAATTATGTGAGAGATCATGTCCCTAACTATCAGAGATATGCCAAACCACTGTATGCCTGCCTAAAGAAAAAAGAAAATGACAGTCAAACGAATAGCAAGAAATTATGGGTCTGGACAGCAGAAAACCAGCAGGACTTAGAAGAACTAAGGAAAAAGATTCAAGAAGCAGTAAGGCTAGAACCAAGAAGCCTAATGACAAAACTCATAGCTGAAGTCAGCTGCGACAGTGATGATGCCATGATAGCAGTAAAAAACGAAAATGGTGGATTAGTTACTCTATGGAGTTACACCCTGACCTCGGTAGAGAAAAAGTTTCCTCAGGAAGAAAAAGAGCTAGCAGTGCTTGCTAGATACTGGGGACATTAAAAGATTTGGCCCAGGGGCAGCCTATTAGAGTAGTGACACAAAGCCAAGTGCACAAGTATCTCAGAAAAGGGACAATAGAAAGTACCAAAGCTACTAACACAAGGTGGGGTAGATGGGAAGATATTCTATTAGATCCCGATTTGGAGATAGGCCCTACACAGCCAGTGAGTAAAAAAGCAGCCAAAGAAGTGCCCGAAGAACCGAAG